TCTCCATTCGCGGCTAAAAAGTGGAAGTGCTGCCCAGGATTCTAAAAGCCTGAAAAGCTAGATCAGGCAAAAAATGCTCAAGTGATGTAGAAGAGAACACCTGAATGTAATAATCGTTATAAATTATGGTGGCACACGATTTACACAGACTTTTTATGGGCGAAACGTTACGCGCTTGTAGTCCAACCCGTATTTAAGTCGGATTTAAAAGCACTCCAAATTTTTTGATATTAATAAGACAAGTAAATTGAGTTGCATAAGGTTGAGCTAATGTGCATAAAATCTTTAATGTTGCGCTTCTGGATAATAAATCCCAGGATTTTCTTCCATTTAAAACCAATAAATATAGATCTGCCCAAAGTGAATTTTTTCAAGAAATGCAGCATATAGAATTTAATGGATGGCAGGCATACTAAGTGATGACATTAGAAGTGAGATGTCTAGGAAACCTAAGAGCTTCTTAACCAGCTTTCCTGCGATATTCCCCCTCTCCGCCAACTGTCCAATAAAATTACCATCAGCACCGTCAGCATCAACAGCCCCTTGCAACTTGGTCGCCAGCCAAGAGCCCACATGGTGATGGGTTCAGAGGCTGAGGCTCGGGTTAAAAGGGGTTTTGAAGACTGCGTCAGTGCAGACCCATCCATACAGTATATGGCGCATAGCATAGGCATACGGCATACATGGCAAGTGCCATGTGCCATGTGGCATGTGGCACCTGGCAGGCCGTTAGCCCGGCCCTGTAATCCATTCACTTGCGCAGGGAAATTATTATAATTGCATTAGTTCAAAGGCAGAAAATTGAAATTGAAATACGTTAGACGATGTGACGGCACGGCCGCTGCTCTCCAGGATGCTGATGGATGGGTTGTATGGCTGTATGGCTGTATGGCTGAATGCGAGGTTGGAGGGACTGAGAGGTGGAAGTACTAGAGCCAAAGTTGACGTAATGTGCCAAGGATGGGGCGTAGTCGCATGGACCAACGGTTAGCGATGCGCCTTCGCCAATTAATTAATTTCTTCTTGGCGTTTTTCGGTGCCTTCCTGCCTCAAATGAGATAAGACGGAAATCATCAGCAAATGGCTTTAATTGTTTTTTAACCGTCTATCTTATAGCTGCATCACTCGCCGCTCTTTCCGGGTATCAAAAGCTTCTGCTTTAATGGAAAAAGTTCGAACCATACAAGTTCTAATCGGCCGACATTGATGAGCACGACTTGATAGACATTTCGTGCTCGTTCGACATTCGTGTACACTTTTTAATGGCTGTCGAATAGGAAAATCAATATGAAAAGTTGTTGCTGATTAACACGCTATGAGAGCCCGAGCACATAAAAGCCAAACAATCAAGGCTATAATAAAGTTGCCAGGAATATTCAGGAGCAGGCAAAGTGAAGTGCCATTTTGTTGATTGATTTAACAATTCATTCCTATTATTTTACTTAAAGCTATATTATTTTTGTAAACAGTAATTCAGTTATTTTCTCCTAACTAAATGTATTTTGTTCCGTCATAAAATTGAATCGATAAAAATACAATCAACATTGCAAATAAATGGCGACTTTTAAGGAACCATAAACAATTTCTACCAAATAAAGTAAGAATCAGAATGCAGCAGATTAAATAAAAACTTCTGAGAAATGTACAATTTTTATACTCGCCCTGCATGCGATTCACTGATTTGTGCTGAAAATATGCAAATAACCAAATGACTGACTGAAAATGCAAACCTGAAAACAACAGAAGTCCGGAAAATGGAAAAAGAAAGCAAATCTCTCGTGCGACATGTGCTTCGCCCACTTCCCGCCCCTCAAATATTTAACCAGTCAGTCAGTTTTGTGTACACGTCAGCACAATTCAGAACAGTTTCCCAGTACAATTTCATATAAACGGAAAACAAGTTTCATTTTACAGAAGAGTGTTTTTCATTTTTGATTTCACACCAGCCGCCTCCGAACACTTGACCCCAAGTAATTAGAAAACTTTTCACCCGGCTGCAGCTCCTCCACCAAATCCATGGAGATGCACATCGGTTTTCAACAATCGCCGAAAAGACAAAACGAAAAACTTCCTTCTCCCTGGGCTCCTGGCCCGCAGTGGCTTGAGTTGCCTCTGGTTTCCCCATTTTCGGTTCTGGCAATCGAGGAAACTGTTGTGGCAAGACAGCGGCAGAGTGGTGCAAATTGCCCTCGTTAGATGCAATAAGAAGGGTTTTCCGGAAAAGAATGAGTTGCCTGGGATGCACAATAGAAGTTCAAAGTTCTCAATCATAATAAGACTCTCAAAGCAATACCCTTGATATTAAAGCTTGAGGGAGTTCACTAGGAATATTAAGGTTGCTTTAATTTCTCTCACAATCTCCGTAGCTCAAAATCATATTTTATATATTAAAGATAATTAAATATCATTAAAATATCATAATCATTAAATATCTACAAAGTATGCGTACGCTTTGTAATAATCTTCTTATTTAAGTTTTATCTTTGCACTTGACTCGTATTCAATAAATGATTATTTGCTATTGCAATTATAATCGTTTGCTTTTGCATAAGACCTAATCCCCAGCCAGCTCGCAGAAAATGTGTCAATATGAACGTGGTTACACGGCAGGGAGCTGAAACTATGTTGTGTATGGAAGTGCCCAACTCTTGGCAGTTTCCTGCATCCAGAAGATAGCCGCGCACAAAGCCAACCGCCTCGCCTTCCACACAATCCAGCGGAAGACATTGCGGATGGTTATAGATGGAGGAAACAATAGTGCGGATAGAACTGCGAGTGTCAGTGGGAGATAACTAGGCATAACTCGAAGTTGAGTGGACCTACACAGAGAACAATTTCGCATTTAAGTATTTAACACCCAAGTCGAAACAATATGACCAATATGCCTAACACAACTCAATTAGTTAGAGACTCATACTGCCATCGAATGCACCGTTTCCATCACATTTATTCCTTGCTTGAAAACATATCTTTCTCAATATGGTATTTTCCCCTCTGCGTGGGAAAATTCTCTCAGTGCACATCGGGGCGACGCCCAGCTGACTGTAAGGATTCGGCGAATCGCACTGGATCGATCCGAGCAGTGACTAAGAATTAAACATGGCGGTAACCATATGCGGCTGAATCGATAAGCGTGTGGCATGCAACCGTCGTCCGACTGGCGACACTTGGCCGGCACTTGTTGTTGCCGCTAGATTGGTGGATGAGTGGCTCGGGGGTGAAAAGTGGGCGGGAAGTGGGAAGTAGGCGTGGGAGTGGGTTGCGAAGGTGCCGCCATAAAAGTTTGACTACTCTGCGCTGATGTAATACCGCAAGACAATTTGCCTCGAACGTCATATGGCTGAACAAGCAGCGGGAAACAACAACAAGAAGGTCGAGCAAAAGCCGGCTAAAAGGCGCTCTCCTCGCTCCCTCCCACTTTCTCTCAGCGCCGCTTTCTCCGAATCTCTATCTCTCCCGAATCTCTATTTCTCTGCCAGCTGCACATGCGCGAGGTCGTGGAATGACGGCATGTTGTACACTTCAATTTGTGCGCAATGTGAAAAGTATACCAATATAGCAGCTAACGCTTTTTTGTTTTAAAAAACTTATTTTCAGTGGATTCCAATTCAATCTTTTCCATACTACAACCTAATCGTTTAATGTTTTAATTTAACTTATTTGTGTTTTCCTTTTAAAGCCCTAATATTGAATATATGAAGGAATAAATGTACTTCTTGGAATGTCCATTTTGTGTCAGAATCGCTTCTCCTGCAATCTTATATTTTGTCATGGCGAAGTGATGAATCAGCTGTTTCGCAAATCGACTGGAAGGCGGCGCTGGAAAGCTGGAGAGCGCGTTCTCCGGCGGAGTAGGTTTCCGTGTCCGTGTCCGGGTCCGGGTCCGAATCGGAATCCAAGTCCGGGCGCTATGTGGCACCCCGGCCGGCCACAGCTGTGGGCCCAAACAAGCCACAAGCCATATGCTATTGATTTTCTGGGCCTTTTCTGCCTTGTTGCCCATTTTCTTGCCTTTTACCTTGGTGCCATGTTTCTCTGTGTATTTCACTTTATTTTTTGTGGGCTGTTACTTTACGCTGACGCGATTGGTGTCGGGCGTAATGCAAGTTAATTTATTCGCTGCCAGCGAATTTCAGCTATTTACTTTGCGACTCCATATATATTCGCTCTACATTGTCTGAAATAAGCTGAGAAATATTGCATGCTTCTGGACAAACGATTTGTGACGACACTCCAAGGATTGCCGACGTAAGGCCATATTGATCAACATTATGAAAGCTGGTAGAAAAATGTGGCCAAGGGGAAATCAGTTAGCTGAAAGAGTTCAAGGAATTTCCGCATGACATTAATTGAACCGCGATTTCGATCAGATAGTTGCTTTAGTTACTTTAATGTGTAAATACGTTTGTTTTGGGCTTATGATTGAGCAATTGAGAAATTAAATATTTGATTTACCACTTGAACTTTAATTGAACGTGAATTACAAATCGCTGAATAGAACATAGAGCTTGCGTAATTAATTAAATTACGATTTGGGGAGTTATTCACCTCCTATTTCACCATCAACTTCTGGTTTGGTCCGCTGAGACCGATTTAACCCTCCGATTTAATACCCCCATATTAAAAATTCACCCTAATCCCGCAATTCTTCGAAACAAGTCATAACTCAAGTCAAGTCACCCCATTTTCGACTACAGCCCCTTTCACTTGTCGCCCGCAAGTATGCAATAAAAATCTATTATGTGTCCTGCACTCACACTCATACCCACACGCCGATTCAGACAACGTTCGCGCATAAATCAAACGATTTGGAGGCTATAGGCAAAATGTTCGCTGTCTGCTAACTGGGCTAAGAGGCTAAGGGAGCGAAAACCCCGGAAAACAGTCTAAAAATAACTCATCCCCGCAATGGTTTTGATTCTTACATTATTATGGTAACAATTCAACTACAACAGTCAGAGCTTTTATATATTATTAAGATTGTTTCGATTGTTACTCACCTTGTCTACCGGCATTGATGGGCACGCTCTGCACAGATTCCAGAATGAGCCAATCATAGGGAAATGCTTTTGCTGTTTGCCAACCAAAGTGCCAAAAATACAAATTAAACACACGCGCGTGGGGGCTTCTCTTCTTTCGATTTCCGGCGATTGGCGTTGCTTATTTTTAACAACTTCTCATGGGTCACACACACGCGCCTGGCCTTTAAACCTAAATATTTCACCTCTCGCTTGCTCTCTCTATACGCACACTCACACGCACACGCACCTGGACAATGCGTAGCGAAGAAAGTGCGTTTGTATTGTCATAGGCCAAATTGGATTACACTTCCGCTGCGGGGAGAAATGGAGGCGTGAGAAAAAGCATTGCATACCAGCGGGCGCCCTGTTCCGGCGATGATCTCATGCCCACATACATCGTGTACACACACACGGCCCACACATTTGATGGCCCACTGGATGTGGACGCAATTAGCCCGTGATGCCCGCTTGTAACGGGCAAGCAACTTTGTCGGACATTAAAAGCAGAAACTTGCTTATTTTATTTCCATGCCCTGGCAAATCGATATCTACTTTTCATGGCAGCCCCGTGGTATGCAATACTTTTTAGCCGCCTCGCGCTGGCAATTCGCACTTCTAACAGCCGCTTTTTCCCCTCGTGGTCGTGGTTCGTGGTCACTGGAGCGGATCTTTGGTAAGGCAATAGTGCCAAGAAACTGCAGGTGAAGCACTGGGAAACACACTTTTTAAGACTGCACCGATTTGCTCTCTGCTCTGCCGCTGCTGCTGCTGCTGCCTGCTCATATGTATATGTAGCTGGGAGAATCTGCCTGGCTCTTCCGGTTTCAACTCGACGACGTTACGAACACGACTGAACCTGAACTGAAAGGTCCCACCAAATAATCCAGCGAGCGAAGCCACGGCGACGGCGTTGGAGTTGACGCAGGGCCTGGAAGTTTTGGGGAGAGAGATTTGGAAGTGGAACCGCGAATGGAAATGGCAGCCACGGCGAACATCTGTTCGCATGGGCGTCGGTGGGTTCGCGGCAGTGCATTACCAATAAAAAAAATCAACTATTAGGTATTTGGCAGGTTTTGCGGAGAAACTTTTTGCTGTTAAGGCGCACTGCAAATTTATTTCGGTTGGATTCGCCGTTCAAAAGCCTGGCAACGCTGACATGCGCACTGCACCACCGGTTAGCCTGTGACGACACAGTAGACTGGAACAGCTGTTTCGCAGCAACAGCGTGGGATTTTTCGACGGTTAGTGGACGGTCACACAGGGGCTTGTTTACCTTTTCATCTAGTGAGCAAAATATTTTACGCCGACTTCAATACTTAATTACTTGAATTAAAGCACTTGAAGCAATTGTACATACAAGTTGTAATGCACTAGAACAGTTCGTAAGAGCTTACGGAAACGATGATTCGCATACGGCAAGCGATTTGCGAGCAGGTGAGCATAATATTGACGGAACTAGCCATTATGTCAGACCAACCTGCTTCCCATACTCCAGCTGCCGCAGCTCAAGAACGCCTGCCATGCGCTCGAAGTGCCTGTCAGGAGACAGCAGCTGCCGAACGCCGGACGACCGACTGTGGAGTGGACTCTGCCCTCTGCGCTAGCGCAACAGGAGGGCGAACTGCTGGATTCATTGAAGAAGCACAGATTTGAGGAAGCCTATGTGGAAGACGTTCGCATAGTACCCAGTGCTGGGCGCAGTGCAGCCAAGATCGTGTTCCAGCTGCAGCCACAGCTCTTTGCAGAGCAGCTCCTCCAAACTAAAGAGAATGCCGTGCATCCTTCGCCCTTTGCTGCGGAACACATAGTGGTAGAGTACAGCTCGCCCAACATAGCCAAACCCTTCCACGTGGGCCACCTGCGCTCCACAATCATCGGCAATGTTCTGGCCAATCTGCACCAGCATTTAGGCTACCGCACCACCCGCTTGAACTACCTGGGGGATTGGGGCACGCAGTTCGGACTACTGGCACTAGGAGTTCAACTGCTGAATGTAAGCGACAAGGAGATGCAACTATCCCCAATTGAAACGCTGTACAAATGCTACGTGGCCGCCAACAAGGCGGCTGAACAAAGACCAGAAATCGCGCAACAAGCAAGGCACCTCTTCGCCGCCTTAGAAGAAGGAACGGATACAACAATGACCAAGCAATGGCAGCAGTACAGAAAGTACACTATAGAGGATCTATCCAAAGTCTATAACCGATTGGGAGTTCACTTCGACAGCTACGAATGGGAGTCCCAGTACTCCCAGCAGCACATTCAGGGAGTTCTGGACAAACTGCGCAGTGCTGGACTCCTGCAGCCAGAGCACGATGGTCGTGAGGTTGTTGTGGTGGATGGTCGCCGCATTCCTGTGATCAAGAGTGATGGCTCCACTTTGTACCTAGCACGGGACATCGCTGCGCTGCTGGAGAGGCTCTCCAGGTTCCAGTTCTCCCGCTTGCTCTACGTCGTGGACAATGGTCAAGCGGATCATTTTAATGCCCTCTTTAAAACATCGGCAGCCCTGAATGACCGCCTAAGTCTGGAACAGCTGCAACATGTAAAATTCGGACGCATTCATGGGATGAGCACTCGGCAGGGAAAGGCAGTCTTCCTGAAAGATGTACTGGATGAAGCACGAGATATAATGCGAGAAAAACGAAGCTGTAGCCCAAGTAGGTGAATGATATACTTACGAAATCCAATGATCTTTGAGTCCCAACACTGTTTTCCAGCTACCAGACAAAATTATAATCTGGATGACGAACATGTATGTGATATTCTGGGCGTGTCGGCCGTCCTGGTCAATGTTCTCAAGCAGCGAAGGCAACGCGATCACGAGTTTAGCTGGCAGCAGGCGCTCCAAGTAAATGGGGACACTGGAATCAAGCTGCAATACACACACTGCCGCCTGCACAGCTTGCTGCAAAACTTCAGTGAAGTAGATCTGGACGATATTAAGCCTGATTGGAAGCACTTCGCCACGGAGCCAGCGGATGCCTTGGATCTGCTCTACGCACTGGCGCGCTTCGATCAAAGCATTTGGCAATCGAAGGAGCAACTGGAGGCCTGTGTCCTTGTCAACTATCTCTTTGGATTGTGGTGAGTACAGCAGAATACTATTAAACATTCCATATGCACTCCGAGAGTCAAGCGTAACAAATGAATTGCTTGACAATGCTGTCAAAAGAGCTGTATCTCCGTCATCACTAAATGTACCCCTTTTTCCCTCTGCAGCAATGCCGCCAGTCGAGCGCTGAAGAGATTGCCTGTGAAGCAAGAGTCCTGCCTACAAAAGCAACTCCAACGCCTGCTTCTCTTTCACGCTGCCAAAAGAACACTGCGACAGGGCATGCAGCTTCTGGGCCTGCGCCCACTGGACCAAATGTAGACCAATGGACCGGACCTAACTTTGTTAACGTAGTTTATATTTATTAAAACACTTCGATATAAAATGCAGCCTAGTGTGCAGATGCACGTGACCGTCTAGCGCTTCTTCCACGTGTACTTGCGGCGTGCTCCTTCCTGTCCGAACTTCTTACGCTCCCGACGGCGATAGTCACGTGTCAGCAGGCCGGCTGCAGCATAAATTGCAATTAGTGGCAATAAGCCAACGGAGGCGGCTACATTGGAGCCATGCACTTGAACATGCACTTACCCAGACGCATTGACTCAATCATCTCTTGATCGACAAAGCTGCGCAAGCTCATGGCGATGCCCCAGCGGATGGCTCCAGCCTGACCGGAAGGACCGCCTCCCTCGACGTTGGCCTCCACATCGACTTTGCCCAGCAGCTCGCTAAATTGCAGCGGGAAGAGCAACTGGAAAAATCGAGATAACGAATCGGCGAATGAGAATGGTATAATGTCGTGGCCGTTAGATGTCAAGTTCGAGCGCCCGAGGCAGCCATTGTACGGATCTCTCTGTATTCAAATGATGCTGCGATAGCGCTTCCTGTACAACAATGCCGATAGATAATGGCGGAATGGTTAGCCAAATTAAATGTCTCTCGGCCGCGGCCACTAAACTGCAACAGATTGTTGCATGTCCGCCTGGCAATTAGTGGGTGGGAGCTGAAAGGTTCCTCCGCCCGGCTAGGTGTGATGCAAATTATAAGTGCATTACAGCAATGCATCAAGTCCGGATAATTGCGGAGCCGCGGGCATGATCAGCACGCGCTGTCCCGTTAATGGGTTGGGTAATAGTTCGCTGTACGTAATCAGTCGAGTTCTTTTGAGAGTCAATTAAAGACGGCTGATTTTATATCACTACACCTTGTTCTTCATAACTCTCCATTGGGCCTTAATAGTATTGGAATTACAATTTCTGCATTAGAATATTAGTTCATTCTCAGCAAAAATCAAAATTTGCTGGCAAGGAAACCATTAATTAGTTATATTCGCATAGCAGCAGCTCTGACGCCATTCACAAAGTTCACAAAATCCAGAGATCAAAACAAATCGTAATTCATTTTTCGTTTTGGCCGTTTTCCGAATTCGACTGCGTGGGAATCAAAGTCAAGGGGCTTGACAAACGTAACGCCTGACAATAAACATTATGATTAAAAAACAATAAGCAATAAACAATAAACCTGCGACAACAAAAGGGGAAGACCAATTTTTAAACTATTGTTCTTCCGTTTCTCTTTTTGGCAAACCAAATTGACAACTGCCATCAATCATTGAAATACCTCCAGATGAACTGCCAAAGGGGAAAGAGACAGACTTTGATTTGTTTAAACAAATTTCCAGATGACTTCACGCAACAGTAACAACAATAATAAGCATAATAAAAGGCTTGCGAACAAGATTTTTAAATTAATGTACATTGTACATTTGGTACACACCACACAAACACAAGCACCGAATACCGAATGCCAAAGCCGAGCAACAGAAAGTCTTAATTGACAGCGATAAAAATAGCACCAGATTTGCAGAAAAGTGACGAGGCAAACAATAAAACTGGTTGCTCCAACTCCAGGGTTCCCCAAATCCCATATCCCAAATCTCTCTTCGTGCGACCTATAGTCGAGGGGGTGATGCTTTTGAGGGGGGCGGTCTACCGGCATCTCAGAGCTTCAAGAAAATTCGCTGTTACATTTTATTATGATTTAAATGGGTTTTATAGTTTGACACATGAGCGAAGTCGACACGACTAAGATCCACGAAGATATCGCTCGGCGCACCAACTGTACACTTAGTGTAAAAGTGTCGGATCGGCGGGGATATAGTATAGTATATATACTATATGCACACCGCCTTCATTGGCGCTCGTCGGGCGGCTCACTTTTGGACACTCATATCGCGTAGAATACGGTTTAGGCGTAGTTCTTTGTATCAGTCGATCCCGCGTCGTCAAGAGCGCGCCAAGTGTCGCAAAATATTACATCGCCCCAAGAATTTCCATACCAGATAGCAGCTCACGAAAAGGATCATTTGCCAAGCAACATGTCGCGATCATCGACTACGCTCAGCCACCGGGTCTGCAGTTGAAACCACAATGGCATAATGTAAAGTGAACTTTCCAGAATTGTGAAAAAGTTTCAAATACGCGAAAATCGATCTTATCAGCGTTTGAAGAGGGAGTGTATCATACTCAGAATAATAACGTCTGCTTCGGTATATTTTGAAATTGAATAAGTAAAAGCAATATTCCATCCTTTACAAAACTTCTCGAAAGACTATTATATATATCGATTTAGAACTATTAGTGCTATGAACATAATAAACTTCACCCTTGACTACAGTAATATGTATAGTTTCGTAAAAAGGATAATTAAGTTGCCCAAGCAGAATCGAAACTAAATGCACAAATACTACGAAAACTAGCATTAATCACAGACCAAAGTACTAGGTACAAGTTCCCTCAGATGAGCGATATCTAGTTGCTTTCTATTACAGAATCAGCCAAGTGAACAATGAGCGATCTCCATAACCGAGTGCAACTTATGAATAGCAATTGAGGTTTGTTTACACTCG